ACCATTCTCTGTGAATCCAGTGACTGGAGAATCTAGGAGAACTAAACTGCAGACACAATCCTTTGAGGAAGGGCAAACATATTCCAAACAGAGTTAAGTTTCAGTCCCTTTATTGACCAACTGTACTTCTATCTTAATCAGGATTTAACATTAGATTTTTTACTCTTGTCCAGCCCATTATCAAACATAGCAAATGTTCGGCAGTACTGATTGCTTCCTTAAAGTAGAACAAGGTAGTCCTTGTATGGGGCCTCCACCAAAGCAACCATGCAATGGCCCGCATGCCACCAGAGACGGCTCTGTGTGCCGCCTGTGGCACGTGTGCCATAGGTTCGCCACCACGGGCTTAGGGTGTTTCTGGGTCCTTCTAGGTTGGGAACTATGTTCATTACTGCCTCAGGATGACCATGCCTTTATATCATAATTGCAGGGATGCTGCAATTTAAGATGAAAAGGGATGCAATTTGCCCCTCATTCGGCCTGCCTGGCACTTTCCAAAGCTGGAAGAAACTTCTGTGCGCGTGCAACCCATGCACAAAAGTCTTGCTTCATGTTGACAGTACCTCACTGAAAACCTGTTCTTAGTATGGCAAGTACTCAAGGAGATGATGGAGAATTGAAGCAACATGATTGTTTTATTTTTAAAAGCACACAGGGACCCATATTGTAATCCCACTTCAAGAAGTTCCTTTGCTTGAATGGTCAGAGCAAAGGACCTCCTCAAAGGCCCGTACAAGCGTATTAATAACCACTCTCATTTTTTCTTCTGAAGTGCCTTTAGACTCATTGGATAAAACTTAGTCAGTGTTATAATTTGTTTATTTGCCTTGGCCATCTGTGGTGCTACAAAACCTCTCGAGGCATCTAACAGAATAAAACAGAATAATCTTAACTGGTATGACTGCTACTTTAGATGCTATGCTTTTAAGTATGAACAAGTTACTGGTTTTATTTATTTATTGGATGCATTTAAAAAAGCAAAAAAAGTTTTTTTTTAAAAAACCCAGAACAATAAAAACATAAGTAATAATTTGAAAAATGAGGTAACCTCAGATTTATAGGTCCTTTTCAGACACTGTGGTTTTGGCTTTATGGTATAAAAGGCAGGAAAAAAAAATAGACCTTTAAAATATTTTCTTTGTCTCCTGGCTTTAACACCGCATTTACGGACTTTTAAAAACCAGCTGCCTCTTTTATTTGAAACAAATTATTATGGTTCACTATTGATTTTGAGCCAATTTGATATGACTAGTAGCTCTTCGTAATGTTGAATAGTAATAGGTAATATTAAAGTATCAAGGCTGTCACAAAGAGGAAAAGAGAACACATTTTACAGACACTGTAAACTGCTTGTTCCTGGCTTAATAAATTATTATTGCCATGAATGAATGTTTAGTTTGCCCAAATGACTTCAGATATTCCAAAGAAAGACATTTCACAGTTCTGAAGCAATGACCAAAGAAACGATCTCCCTGTTGTCATTGTGCAAACTTGCTGCATGACCTAGACCAGGCCAACACAACATATGGCTTGTGGGCCACATGCAGTTTTGTGCAGCCAACCACATTTTTTTTTACCATTAAGTAAAACAGTAAATTTACAGGCACTGCTGCTGAGTACTTCCAAACCTTGCTGCTCCGCTAGCCACAGAACAGCTGATCAGTACTCCAGATATTTCTTCACAGCCCACAAGGATTTTTAATTTATCAACGTGGCTCTTTCCTTGGGCACATTCTGCAAGACAGGCTTAGACTTTATTTTCTGAGTAACTTGTCCAGGGAAACTTTGTCTTTTGGGTAGGACAGAGCCAGAATTTAAAATGTTTGTATTTCCACGATTGAATTTCTAGGAGTTGTGGGTTTGTGTCCATTGATCAGTACTGTGTGATTCCCCCAGCCCTTCCTTTTGTTAGGAAGCTGTTCCCTAAATAATGGGAGTTCACAGAGTTTGTGCTTAATCTGGTTCTTAGCCACATCTCTGTTTCTCAACAAGGAGCCCATCCATCTCTCTCTTCCAGTCTCTGCCGAAACCACCTATATTCTTTAATCTCTGAACCCTGGGTTTGTTTGTTTTTTGTCCCTTGTGGCTTTGGCCAATTGTTTGTTTTATACAGATGTTTCTATATGTGTCTTTGAAAGGGTGACCAGTGCTTGAATAACTTAGTCCTTTCTGTTCTCTCTGGAAGTTGAGAAAGAAGAAGAAGTTATACTGAGTGGAAAAGGACTTGATGGCTACAGTTGTCCATGTAAAGGACATTATGTTAACTTTAGTCTTCCTATTTTTAAAACATCCACAGAACACATAGTAAAAACTGATTTAGAAGAAGAATATGCAAATAGTTTTGATGGTCTAAAGCTACTTTATTTTGTAATAATCCTTTTATATTTATATTTATATTTAATCTTTGTCAATAATCTATTTGAAGTCTTTCTAAATTAAAGTAACAAACATATAAAAATGTGCATGTGAAAAATATGGTTCCTATATGACTCTATAATATATGATATCCCCTTTTTATAAACAAAGCAAACTATGATCTCTATATGCCAGCTGTGAAGAACATATCTGCAGCATTTAGCCAGCCATGACTGATCTCAAAAAGATAAATAGTCAGCCTCAGTAGTACTTGGAAAGGTGACCACCAGGAAATCTCATGAAGGTAGAATAAATCAGAAGAAGGCAACGGCAAACTTTTTCTATACTGTGCTTAAGAGAACTGCATGGCTTCTTCTATGTCATTGCCAGGAATCAAGGTCAACTAGAAGAACACTATTATTTTAATTACCACTTAGCTCAGAGGAAGGGGGCATTAAATGAAATTATCTGCCTCTGTATAGCCTTAAGGGACCACATTCTCCTCTGCAATTTTCATTTTTTTCTGTCATTCTAATATACGTCATGAAAAATCTTAACATTTATTTCTGCAGAGCACAAAGTAAAGCGTGTACAATATTTAGCATTTATTGGGACCATTGTTAGATATAAATCTAGAATATTTATACTGATGCCCAGAAGTTATCTTAAATTGTGGCAAGACTAAAAACAACTGTTTTCCAAAAGTTTTCTCCATCACAGATAACCACAAGATTGTTCAGCTCAAGACAATTTGCCATATATCAGCAAGATATTATAAATCCCTGTTATCTCTTCTCTAAATTGGGATATAAGGTAGAAAAAGTTAGGGTTCTGATCTGAAACTCCTAGGTTGAATTCAGTAAATGCTCAGAAGTGCCTTTCGGCCTTAAATTCTAGAAGTATAGTTTCCATCTCCTTAGCTACTATTTTGGTAGTAGACCTCAAAATTAGATGCTAATGTTATTCTCTGTGTTCTTTACATAATAGAATCTATCTTCTCCTGGATTCTGGACTTCCTTGGAACCAAGGAATGATAGTGTGTCTTTCCAGATGATTCTATCTGTAAACTTACATCAGGCATTCAGATTCCTGCCACCCACAAATGTGCATTATATTTCTTTCAGTCTTTTCTCCCTCTTGCTGTTGCATGCAGTACAGCACTTTGTGCAAACGCTACAGACTGAATGATTCAGTCCATCCACATGAATTCTCAAACCATCCTCTTATTGTAAAATGTAAATAATTTTCAGAAAACAGTATTCTGCTTTCCTGCTCATTGACCAAGGATCTTATAATTCCCGTTAACACTTCTGATAGTGCTATTTTGGCCACCTGATCAGCCTTCTCAAACCAATGGGGCCTACAAGCTATGCTGACTATATACAATGGGAGATTATATCTGGTGCCTCCCAAGACCACCAATTCTAACTCCTTTTTCCTAGTTCATTTGTGTTTATGAAAAGATTATAGTTATACTTAAGTGGCCTTCCCATGGGAATAACTGCTACTGGGTCAGCCTTGGAAGTGAAAGTTGAATTTGGTTAAAATGAATTGTGTTTGCTGGGAAAAAAGACAGAAAGCAGTATTTTTCTGCGGTGTAAGAAAGATGAAAAACAACATCAGGATTTCAGAAATCTATAGACTAGACTGGAAAGTTTAAAAAAAAACAACTTCCCAGACAAAGGCAGTGGCATATAACGGTCATATTATTGCCAAAACAAATTGCACGGACTTTGAAGAAGACTTATCTTTTATCAGTCCAAATTGTGATTTCAACAGAAGCCTTTGCCTGATGAAGTTCAACAGAAGAAAGGTTTGATCCCATTGACTGACTTTCACATACTTTTTTTCATTTAAATGAAACAAAGAGAAAGTAAAAAAAAAGCCTTTAGCTATGTTTGCCAACTTGCTACCCGGAAGCAAGGGAAACTCCCTTTGGGACTAGCATAAGAGTCAACCCAAAATATCTATGTTGTTCTTTTTTGCAAAATATCTGCAGCAGATACAGATTCCCAGGCATAAATGTGGATGGTACTTATGGCATATTTCTAGCAAAGATATGTGGTTACTTCATAGAGGGAGTAATAGAATGATGATCTGCACTTTGAGTGATTCCCTGAGCTGCCAGCTCTACCTGGCTCCTGTTTTTAAATGTTCTTCTCACGATCATTTTGAAAGCTCCAGCTTGTTCCTCTTCCTCAACCTGGTGTTCTTTGTTTCAGTTTGGTATTTGTTGCAATGCTTTGAGTGTTGATATGCAGTAGTTTCCTTCGGAAGTATGTTCTGAATCTCATTCTTAGGTAAACATTAAGTGAAGCTAATTGCTGACACAAGGAAACTTTAATCCAAATTTCATCCATACCTTGTTTAAAAAAAGGCATTTTGGACAATCATTATATTCTAGAAATGAGCCTTCACTTCACCTAGAACCTGTCATTCTTGTGCTCTTCAAACTTTGCTATGTTTAGGTGGGGGTACATGCCAATTTGAATGTCTTAAACTATTGCCATAATGTTTCTATGACATATATAAAGTGGATTCGTGTATAAGATGGATCTGGATCTGTAGTTGATTAATAGCTAAGCTGTTGTATATCTATATTTGTTTGCTCTGCTAATTATTATTTTTTTCTTTTTCCAATGAAGCATTGACAGTAAGATTCATCACCAAGCGATTTATTGGTGATTATGACCCTACTCTAGGTAAGTTTAGTTACTTGCTCTGTCAAATCAGTGGATTAATTTGTACTTTTTGATGATCAACAGCAGTTACTGTTAATATTGGATCTCAGATCAAAAATATTTAGTGAGAAAACAGAGCCCTGGTTCAAAATCTCACCCCTCACCTCTCTAAATAGATCTAGAAAAGCCTGCTGCCTAAGGCCCAAAGAGCTATTGGCTGCCAATCATTTTCAATCATGCTGAGCTAGATAGACGCATTATACAAAATTCTTAATTTAAATATGAAATGTGTTTAATCAAGATTAGGTTTTTATAATGTAAAAATGGATTATTTGACAGATCTTATAGCAAATGTGATGCTGTTTGTTACTATTTATTTCTCTTCTGTTAAAAATATCCAAAGTGGTATATAGCTTAATAAAAAAAAACTAGAAACATCAAAAATAAAATCATCAGTAAAATTATTTGGTATACTTTAGAAATCCTATTGAAGCAAGAGGTGTGTTTGGTGACGAAAGCTGCAGAGACAGGATCAGACAAATTTCACTAGGAGAGCATTCCAGATTTATGACCCCACCATAGAATTATCAGTATAATCAAACTACATATATAAGGTTGCTCTAGTGAGATGGGTGGCATATACATTTAAGAAATAAAGTAATAAAATAAGTAATAAATAAATGCTAACTAGTCAGATCAAATGGTCAGTGATGATACTTGACTCTGCTGCCATCTTGCCTTCATTGGTCAAGTTTACATAACTTAGAACAGCTTTCTGCAAACTTGGTGCCTTTCAGAGAGGTCAAAAGATAAATCTCCATCAACCCCTTGCCTTACACTCATGAGAAGAGGAATTCAACTCATTTGAAAGGTGCCAATTGGAGAAAGCTGTTATAGGAAGTACATATTCATAGGTCCAGTTAATTGAAGTTCAGGTGAATTGCAGTCCTGTAATTTAAGACTTGTCTCTTTGGATCAGGTGAGACTCTTACTTTATTTCACCTTTTGGTTTCGCTAAGTGACCAATCAGAGTGCTCCCAAATGGAGACATATTCTTCTCCTCCTACCATTGTGCCCCTAATAGTAGTATTTGGGTATTTGGAAAATCGTGTCCCAAAGACAATTCTAAATCTTCAAGATTGAGAATCTTTGACAGACTTATCCACCATGAATTTACTCAATTCCTATTACCATATCTTGTGGTAATGAATTCCATAGTTTAATTGTGTACTATGGAATTTCTCAATTTTCTGCATGCTTATATAATTTTATATGCCTTAATCACATCTCCCTTCAGTGGGTCTCAACTCCCCACGGTGTACAATCCCAAATATTCTAGCCATTTCTTTTAAGGGAGCTATCTGATCATTTTGGTTGCCCTCTTCTGCATTTTTTCCACCCTATTATATTTTTCAAATATCACAATGAGAATTATACACAGTATTTCAAATATTGTCATATTCATAAATCTCTTATAAAACCATTATACTGTTGGCAGTTTTATATTCAGTTCTTTTCCTAATGATCCCTAGCCTGGAATGTATGTGCCTTCTTCACAGCTGCCACACACTGAGTCAACATCTTAATTGAATAATCTATTATGACTCCCCATCTATAATAGTAACAAAAACAACAACTGGAACACTACTTGAACACCATCAGACTGACAAAATCACCATCAATTAATTGCAAAAGGCAGCTTTACTTGGAACAGCTTACATCCTGCGACATCAAACAACAACATCTCCCTATCCCAGGTCCTTGGAAAGAAATTGATAAAAATGTCAAATCCAGTGTAAAAACCTGGCTGACTGTGGGACCAATCATAATAATATAAATGTATGACACCCTGACTCCCAACTACTCTTTTTCCTATATAGTTACAGTTTAAACTGTAAGAGTCTTGGTGGTGCAGTGGTTAGAATGCATTATTGCAGGCTAACTCTGCCCACAGTCTGGAGTTCGATCCTGAAGGGCTCAAAGCTGACTCAGCCTTCCATCCTTCCAAAATCAGTAAAATGAGGACCCAGATTGTTGGAGGCAATATTGTAAACTGCCCAAAGAGTGCTGTAAAGCACTATGAGGTGATATATAAGTCTAAGTGCTATTATAATCCATCATTATATATGTGCAATTATCTTTCTTTGCCCCAATGTGCAATATTTACTGTATTCTTCATTGGTTGTTTTGTTTGATTATTCATCAGCTGAAAAGACCCTTCTAAAGCTCTTCACGCTTCCTTGCAGGTTTCACTGCTCTGAATCATCTAAAACCATGGCCAGCTCACTATTTATTCTAAATAGGGATCATTTATGAACTGTTGAAAAACATCAGTCCCAATACAGACCTTTGAGGCCTCCACTCTTGCTTTCCTCCACTTAGAAAGCTGGTCATGTATTCACATCTTTTGCTTTCTGTGTTTTAACCAGCTAGCAATTCATAATAGGATAGGTTCTCTCTTATTCCACAACAGATAAGCTAAGTTAGGAAACTTTGATGAGAAGCTTTGTCAAGACGTTATTGAAAACTCATTCTCATTCTATAATTTATTGGATCTTCACTTGGTCCTTTTTTAAAAAAAAATATGGTGTAACACTGGCTACCTTTCAGCCTTTGGACACTAAGCCTAACTAGAAAGGCCAGTTACGTATTGTTGCTGTGAGGTCAACAATTTCAAATGTGAATTCTTAAAAGAACAACTATTTTGGGGGGGATATCGTCAGGACCTAATGATTCATTACAATATTGCCCTGCAAGATGTCCTAGAATTTTCTCAGTTTTCTTTGGTGGTTACAATTTCTTCCCTGAAAAATTAGTATAGAGTCAGGTCCACATCTTCTATAATAAAGGGTGATGCAACAAATCGAATGCTGTAGGGTGCTTATTTTAGCTCTGATTTTTGCACGTTTAGGCCGTGATTATCATGTTTTCATTTAGCTTTCAGGCTAGCAGTCTTCTACCTAGCTATGTTTTTTTTCCATTTTTGCAGTGAATTTGAAAGTAATTCATAGAAAATTAGACTAATACTCATTGTGCCCTACTTTTCCCTCAATTTTACTTCCTTGCTTTGTTATAACCATGAAAGCATTCCTCAGAAAAGTAAAAGCTGCTCTTTAGATAACTACGTTGAATACAGTAAGGGTTCAGATATTTTAAATTTAGCAGCAAAGAAGCTTGCTGTGAAAACTGGAACATCTTCAGGGAGGTGCTTTAATTAACAATTATAGTTTGGGAAACACTCCCGGGAAACATTGCTATATGGAAGTAGCAAGGCAAAATCCATGGCTGGAATTACTACATTTTGAGATGATTTTGATAGATATCTTTTCTAGGTGGAGAGCAACATTTTGTGAACTGTAAATCCCACAGGCTTCCCAGATAATTACTGAACATGTCTCCATTAGTTTTTTTTTAAAAGAAATTGTCCTACTTTGGGGTTGGGGGGACCCTAAGCACTTTTTTTTTTCTTTTTATCTTTTCTAGCTCGGAAGGACATATTCCTGAGTGGTGAACCCCACTGAATATTAAAGAGATAGAGACATATTTCCAAATAAACTTTCATCAAATATTTTTAGCATACCACACATTTAATTATTTGGAGGGTGCTAGGAATGGAATCTGAAATCTCTCCCCATTTTTTTTAGTAGTAATGAATAATTAGGAGGTAAAGAATAAAGCCAAAAGTGGATATTACGCTTAGGCAGAATATGGCAGTTCCCCTCCTTTATCCACACTCTTAAATACAGTACCAGCCTCTTTGTTTGGAGGAAAAGAAGAATGCCTTTAGGGCCAAGATGAATGAATGTGACTTGTAGTGGCCTGGTCATGTGGAATTCAGAAGGCAGAGATGAGAATTCAATAAAGAACAAAGTGATTGGAAAGAAAGATGGCTTTGAGGCATGTTTTTTTTCTTAAGCAGGTAAACTTTCTGCCTTTCTCCTACTGAGTTCTGACAGGGCCTCATTTTATAGCACTATTGACATGCTTTCTTTTTAAGCCTATGGCAAACATTTCTGGTACCTTCACAGATTCTCCATGCTGAGTGCAGAATTGCTTCACTGAGGCAAAAGGACAGCTCAGTAGCTCATTACATTTTTGCAGTCACATTTCTACCCATCCTCACTGCTGTTATGGTGCACCAGTGATGGTAGGATGAGAACTGGTGCTCCATCCTCACCTAACATACTTCCCTGTCTCCTTTATCGCCTCCATATTCTGCATTTCCATCCACAAGATGGGGCCTCCTTTTGCTTTTTTTCCTCCTTATGAATACCAGAGGGATTTATGTGCACTTTTATTGCTTTTATGCCTTCATATCAAACCATTTGCAGAATGATTTCCCAGATGTTTCCTTACTCAGTTTTGCACTTGTTATGCTCTAAACCTAGTCCCTTATGAACAGTGGCCACCCATTCCTCTTTTCCCCCTCTATTTAGCTTCCTTCAATTATGTCTTAACCCTTATTTCCATAATATATAAACATGATGCCGTGGTTGTGTTTCTCCAGTACTATTTGTGCCTACATTTTGGTGAATTCTCAGGAATGTCACCAGCACCTCCTCAAGCCATGGTATTCCCATGCTATGTTGTTCTCTCGTTCAGCATAAGGATATATAATTTGTTTAGGCTGAGGACTACACTTGACATTTGAATGGTACGTTAATATTAATAATAGCAGCCTGGCCAGGACAAAACATAAATTATACCAAATTAAATAAACCTCTAAATGAGTTAAATACATTTAATATGATTTGAGTCATGTATTTAAAATAACTTAATGGAAACAGTTAGAGGACATCTGGAGGCCATGTCAGGTATTTTTTTTAAAAAATATAAAAGTAGAAGTTTTTATTATGACATTGTTCTGTCTGTGCCACTCTTCCTAAGTCTCACTAGTTTAAGTATACAGCTAAACCTGTGGTAAAAAAAGACCACTTCTTTGTCCAGTAAGCTTTATCATCTGATGATTTGTATTTTTGTATATTACCATAAATATACCAAAGATTATTGTATCAAACTGTTAGAAATGTCTAGAAATATGCAATCCTAAGACTTATTAAAGGCCAAATGTATCTTTCGGATTAGACTTCTCCCACTTGATGCCCATCAGATGTGTTTGACTACAATGCCTATCATGTCTCAGATAACTTGGGAGTAAAGAAAGGTTGGAGACAGACCGTCAAAGACTTCTTGTGGAATAAAAAAAGTGTTATTTTTAAGTTTGCTTTCTCACACAATGTTTCTGTTCTACAGAGATGATTTACAGGCACACAGCAGTCATAGATGGAGAGATGGTTCATTTTGAAATTCTTGACACAGCAGGGCAGGTATGGTTTTAGTGGCTTCATTGTTAAAAAAAGTGGGGGGAATGGTACTGTAGAAATGAAAAAGTACTGCAGTGGGCACTGAAAATGTCAGGGGGCAGGAGCAATTCCCCTGTAAGAAAAGTTACACCTTTGGCCTATGTGGGAGGTAGGTATGGATCACTCTTTCTCTGAACATTAACGAATCAGAAATGAATACAGTATGTTACAAATTAAAGGGATAGATAGATAGATAGATAGATAGATAGATAGATAGATAGATAGATAGATAGATAGATAGATAGATAGATAGATAGATAGATGGATGGATGGATGGATGGATGGATGGATGGATGGATGGATGGATGGATAGATGGATAGATGGATAGATAGATAGATATAGATAGATATAGATATAGATATAGATATATAGCGATATAGATATAGATATATGTATTTGGGTTATAGATTATATTATATTCATAATACATGGTGTTTTAGATGCATTTGTCCCTAATAATATGTTGTTTTATTGTTATTAACTATAATGTCCTTTTTAAAATGTATGCAATTTGTATGGAGCATAATAAATCTAGTAAACTCCAAGATTAGCACTTCTGCCATGACAGTCTTATAAATGAGCAGATCTTTTAATCATAATAGAAAAAAGCAAAGCAACATGAAGCAACATTTATTTCCCATTTATTTGTCAAGGTATATGGATATATATACATACATACATACATACATACACACACACCACCTTTATTTTTTACAAATAACTCAAGGTGGTGAACATATCCAACATATCCTCCTCCTCCTCCTATTTTCTCCATAACAACAGTCCTGTGAGGTGAGTTTTCTCCCTATAGATCAGGGGTGTCAAACGTGCAACGTCATGTGACGTGTCGCGACATATCGTGACTTTTTTGCCATTGCTGGCAATGGGGTGGGCATGGTTTCGCTATGATGTATCTGGCCTGAAGGCCTGCAGTTTGACACCCCTGCTATAGATAATGGTTTTGGTCACAGACATAAGCTTAGCCATGATAAAACCATGGAGTAAGTAGAAAAGAAATAACAGGTAAGATGTGATAAACAAATCCCAGAACATTCACATCTTTAGGGGAAAGAAGAAATGGGAACACATAAGATGTTGTGTAAGGCTGAGTATAAGAAATTAGAGTGGATTTAGAAATAAAACTCTTCATGTGACAGAAAGAAGCAGTACCTTTGCAAATATTAGAAGATGGGAAGATTTCAATAGTAAAATCTAATGGTTTCCCACCAAGATGTTTTGGGCAGAATAGCTAAAGAATGCCTGTCTGTTGAAAGTTAAAAAGGAAAATGGAAAAATTAAGGGTACTTCCCTTATTGAGTTCTTACTGCAATGTCCAAATTTGGAATAGAGAGAGACAAAATATAATAGGAATTTGTAAACATCAGTGAAGCTTGTTGTGGCTACACAGGTTGCCTCTCTGCACTTTGATCAATGGGTTGTTCCTTGTTAAGATGCCCCAAAGGCTTTCTGGCACAGGTACCGAGGTTATTAATTACAACAGTTTATAATGACATTAGTTCTAAAGAACCAAATCAAATCATGCAACTTTAGTTCCTAGGTGATCATTTTTTAATGCTACATGGTATTTCAAGAGAACATTCTTTCTTATTCTAAATTAAGCCCAGCCCTACCATTTTGGCAGCAGAAAAACTGTAATCCTTAAAGTAACAGGCCAAATATATGTAATTTGAATTAAATATGCATTCAATTATTGTCTATCTCAGGTAGCAGGATACTGTTAAGCAGTTGTTCGATTCTAACAGAATCCTTCAGTATATACTAGGATTTCTCAAATTTATTTATCTGGATGCCCATTTTTATTACTTTTTATGCATAAAAATGCAAATAAGCTTTTAAAGGGTCAGACTGATTGTCAGTTTCCTCTCTAATTAGGGTGTTGACAACAGTGTGGTGAAGGATAAAGAAAATAATTATTTGAATATTTTTCAAGCACTGAAGGGCTTTTCTGTTTGTTTAATAAAGACTGGTCTTGATCCATGGACCGCATTTAGGAAATGCTACGATTTATTAATAATCAAACTCACTTTCTAAGTATTAGCCTTGAGATAACGAAATGGCATTGTACAAATACCAAAAAGAAGGTAATGGTACATTTTGATAATTTGAATATAATGGGAGAAGAGCTGGATAGACTTGCCCTGTTGATTTCCATCCATTCACTTTACTTAAAGTCTCCTCTAATGGTACCATGAGGAATCATTAGGCTAAGAAAAATGGCAAACTCTGAAGAACCTCTTAGAAAAAAATGTTTTAAAAATCCTAAGTACTGGCCTCTACCAAATGACCCATCTAATATGCTCAGTAATTCCTCCAAGCTGAGTGTTGGAGGGAAAATAGAATAACAGAGTTGGAAGGGGCCTTGGAGGTCTTCTAGTCCAACCCCCTGCTCAAGCAGAAGACCTTATACCATTTCAGACAAATGGTTGTCCAAACTCTTCTTAAAAACCTCAAACTGGGGAGGGAAATGAAATGGAGTAGGTTAAATGAAGACTATATTTTGGGGGGACACACATTCTGCTTTAGAGAAGCATTGAATGGGAAGTGTTGATACTCTCTTTCTTGCACTGTGTATGTACCCGATCCTGTTTTCCCCGATAGACAAACACAGAAAATGTAGGCTGGGGGAGAAACCTGTGAAGAAAGACAGTTTGCAAGAGAGTCACAATAAGTGGAGGAAAGGTTGGATACTTTCTTACAGGGATACCCTTCTTTTCTGCTTTCCAACTTTGATTATCGCTGAATGTCTGACCCTGTCAGCTTCCCCTCTGGGAGCTGTCTGACTTCATATGTACAACTAGTATTTGTTACAACCAGTTGTGTAGATGAATTCTGATCTTCCATTAGAGAAAGCACCATTTTTATACTGATCTGTGTTTTCTCTTTCTGGACTAGGAGGAAGACTCTCTCCAAATTGAAGAAAAGATAAAGTGGGGAGATGGATTTGCAGTAGTTTATTCTGTCACTGACAGGTGTAGCTTTGATGAGGTGATGAGGCTGTGCTTTCTCATCAACCATATCCATTCTAGCCCAAAGCGGAACAGTGCTAGTGGAGAACCGCCGGTTGTGATTGTTGGAAACAAGAAGGACCTACAATTTGACCGAATGGTAACCTTTGAGGATGGAGAAAATCTCTCCAAGGCGCTGAAGCATCCTTTCTACGAGATCTCTACCAGGGACAGTTATGAAGAGACTGTGATGGTCTTCAACACCCTACATGGTGAGCTGATGAAGCAAGGGCATTTTTCCCCAGGGTCCTTCAAGAGGCGAGCATCATCTAAATTAATGGAAAAGATTCCCAAAATTCATGCCAATTCAAGTCTAACTTCAGCAGGCAGGAGTCTCAGCTTCAATTCATTCAGGGACTACATCCCAGAGTGAACATTTGTCTAAACTGTTGTACAGTGATGTTCAAAGCACACAGAGCCAGTTCGAGATAACAAGGGAGAGGTTGCAGAATTGGTAGCACAAAGGGCAAGAGGCCTGCACGTTGTTAGGAAAGCTTTTTTTTTAAAAAAAAAATATCCATCAAAATTGGAGTATCTGAGTTTGATCCTTAGCTGATAGCACAAGGCTATGTGATGCAACAGAATAACTTACTGGATGATACCAATGGACAATCTATATCTGAATTTTTATTTCCAAAACATATTTCTGAAAATCCAACCTAAAATTAATTATTCTTCCCCCCCCCCCCGTTATTGTCTCCTAACAATTAATATTCACAATCAATAACAGTAGCCTACAATCTCTGGCCCAAGGGGTTCCATTTAGCCAATGTGTCCAGTATATTTCACTTGGCCCATTCCACATACCCTCCCCTATGAATTTGTTTCTTCCACTTTAAACTAATTGAAGCCAGTAGCCATCTTAATGGCAGAAAATTCTAAAAGTAAGTGAGTTGTGGCGTGTTCTCCTATAGAGTCTTTTGAATTTGGATTTAAGAGCACCGTAAAGCACCATTGGGTTGGGCCCTTTTTATTTTCCCTTCAACAACAAGAAAAGCAGTCAACTAAATGTCTTTGCAAATGGAAATTCAGGTGCTGAATTCAACAATCGCTGAGCCGTGTTAAGTGTTGATCTATCTTTTATGTGGTTTACAACAGGGGTTGAAAAGGTCTTAGATATACTGTTATCTCTCTGGTTCTTACTATTGATCTGTCTTTTCCAACGAGCATATTATATGTGCATCTTTTACAGACTGATTAAGACCATTGTTATCATTTGTTTTGGATGGATGCAGTAAAAACCACCCTTAATTTAGTCAAATTAAATACTTAGCCCACTGAAAATGTTTGCTTGATCTACAGGCCTGGGTAAAAAGGGTGCTTTATTTGCATAAGAAGGTACAGTGAGATCAGACTTTGTGGCCAGAGGGAAGAGGTGAATTCAGAGAACTGGGCAAGTTTACAGGATCCTACAACTTAGTATTTAAATGCTCATTAAGTCTACTGCCAGGAAATTCCAGGTACTCTTTACCAGAGTAATTTGAATTCAGATAATTTAGGTGCTGTGGATAACAGGAGCCAAGAATGTGTTCACCTGCCTCCCCGCTTTTCAGATTTTGCTTGAAAATGTGAATATATGAAGCTGCCTCATGGGAAGGTCCTTCTAGGCTATGAGTTTCTACTTGGACAGATGGGAACTCTTTAACATCTCAGCTTCACTGTTCCTTGAGATGCTTTGGCAAATAACATGTTCCTTATTTAAAGAAAAATAACTGGAGAAATGCTTGAAGCATATATAATTTGCCACAGATCTACTGTCCCTCTTCAAGCTATTTTTTTCCCCCTCTGGCAGCTTCCATCTACTAGGCCAATACGTTGTTCAGACTCCCAGGCACCTGCTGTTCTGGAGGGCGAGATGACAGATTAGTTGGTTCAGTTTGTTCCCTAAGGCTCCTACGTGGCTTCTCTGCATTGGAAAACAGCCGCCTGCTCACTACCTACTACTCACTTCTTTATAGTGGTTGGTGTGGCTTTTTTGCAACGCAGCACACAGAAACAAAAAGACCTGTGTCTTAAACATGCAGATATTTTACATACACACTGAGGGATGCTCTGTATTTCTAAAAATAATAAATATGTCTGTACTAATTTCTCTGGCTCTTGATTACTATCCAATCCAGTTAGTTCTCGAGGTTTTGGGTATGCTTTTGCTTTGACACTGTGTGGCTTTATGGTTACAATTTGTTTTGTAGAATGATTATACTTAACTATTAACTAAAATCTCTACCTATGAAGAAAGAATAAGCATATGTATTTTAACATACACACTTTGGGAATGTTACAGAGATCATGAAAAAAGAATGAAAATGTGACAAATCAATAAATGAGAAATTAAGTAAAGCAGCCTTATCCAAATAGTAGTTAGATGCCAGAATTCTGTGCTATTGAGTTTATAGCTATTCTAGCACCCAGATTTTAAAAAAAAAACATCCAGTTAATGTGCATGGCTTTTTATTATGATCAAAATTTCACTGCCTCCATTCTGAGGTATTTCATGGACTGCTGTCCACAATAGCATAAAAATTATGTGAACAGCATCATAACATGCATTTTGTTTAATTGCACATTTCATAGATTCTTGAATGGTTCCCATAAAAACTATTTCCAGCCTTTGAGTGAAAGAATCTTCCAGATCCAGATGTTTTCCATTTCAGTCATGCCATTCGCACTAATCCTTTGTGGCTTCAGTGGAAATAAGGAAATCTCATATGCTATCAAACCCATCCTGCTGGTGGCATAAATAAGGAAAAGAATTGATGCTTTTGTTATGAGGTCTGGGAGTTGTCAGTTAGTAATTTGATTTAAAAGTTCAACAAAGCTCCCTTTGTTAAACAGTGTCATTTGACTGGACCCAAGAAGTGGTCCTTCTCTGTTGCAATGGCGGTCCTCTGCTCGGGAACACCACTATCCTAAGGGCGCCTATGGCTCCATTGTGATGGTATTTCAAATGTCTGTGAAAACCTGCCAAGCCTTGGGGAAAGGTGGGTGTTGAGCCTATTGGTTGTTTTTCTTTATATTGATTTTCTCCCCTTTATGCATGCAAGGTTCTTTTTCTATGTTTTATGTTTTTTTTCTTTCTTTTAAAATTCTAAGCTGCCCATAGTCACCTGGAACAGGTGACTTCTACCTGTCATAAAACAAATAAAGTTGCACTTAAATCCCATTGAAATCAGTCTGAAAAACTAGTTAATAATCTTTCATATTGATTTCAATTGAACCCATATGCAAATAACTAATACTGGGCCGTTATGTGCATGTTTATTTCACTTATTTTTATAGGATGAATGAGTAAAATGAAATAGAAACAAACCCTTTTATTATTAAAGTTAACAGTAAAAGTGAACATAGTATTTATCTTCTGTAGTTTTTAGCTCAGTAATAATGATGTGGGTTAGAGGTCTGGCTCCCTCCTCCCCTTTCTTCCAAAGTAATCAAAGAAAACATAAGTATGAAATACTGTAGATGTTTATTCAGAGGAAAGTCTTGTACAGCAAATGAATCATCAGTGCAGGTCTCAGAAAATAAAAAGAAACACTGTTCCATTTTTTTTTAGTCTGGAAACATTAGTTGTTATGTTCCCAATTTGTAATATATGCTTGTAAACGGATGTTTCTGCAATATAATATTATATCTCTGTCTGCTGTTTGGGAATTTTATGTTTCTCAGACAAGGGTCTGAAAAGTGTATTCGAATTTAGATATTGTTTCCATGTGAGAAAGCTGTCAGTAAAAAAAATATTTTAATCTGCTAGGCATAGGGAATATTTAAAGATAATTACACTTGATTGATATTCTGTGTTTTTAAAAATATTTGTTTCTCCTAATTCAGTGGGAAAAGAACTATAGACCTATATAATTTCATGCAACCTTATTACAGCTTTCTTCTACAGTTTATTTTATTATTAAATTTGTATGCTGTCTGGCTCCCTATGATTCTCCTATCTAGGTTGGCCCTGGTAAATGCTTGGTTGCAAAACCATCTAGGAAGTCCATAATTGGAGATTCTAGTATCCTTAATCTTTAAAGATTCTGGATGAGTCATGTCACAACCAGAATTATGTTACATCTGCAGTGTATTCATCACCACATTCTTGGTGGTATTAATTGGTGACTTCATCTGTAAGTCATAGTATTCTGATATTACTGAGTGCTGAAGAACCATTCTATTTCTTGCACATAATTCAGGGAGAAAATAAAAAGAGGTATGATTTCACTAAGTTGCTTGTTGCTCTCCTCACAAATTGTATTAATGGTTTTTAATTTGCTTTTACCAATTTATGATGTGTGCTGCCCAGAGTCGCTTGTTGAAATGGGCAGCTATAGAAAACAAATAAATAAGACCTCACATGTAATGGACCCAAAGTAATTTTTCAGGGAGCTGTGGAGGCAATTTTGAAAGTTCATGCAGAGAAGGTTCAAAACAGTCTGATGAGATGGGTCAACCTCTCAAACAAACTAAAAAAGCTTGTTGCTTTACTTCAAAAATCTCTAGTGAAAGGCAGCTTTTGTTTACATGGCTGAATATCACAGTTTTCAAGTTCTCTTTTATGACATTAGGGTTTATCTAACTCCTTTAAATATAGAAAGTTTACAAGTGATTTCCTTTTTGCTAAGCTATGCAGAGAATTCCTTAATACACTGCCTGATTGCTATTGACTCATTTTAGTGTTGATACATCCTCAAATGGCCATCTTGGCCTTAAGACCAAACTTGTCGTTTTGTCAGGGATTGGAAACCTCCAGATGTATGTGTGTATGTGCTGTCATTGGGACAGTTATCTAAATGCCCACTGAGTAGAAGACTAGACTAGAAGACCTCCAAGGTCCCTTCCAGCTCTATTCTATTCTGAGTAGAGGAGGGATCCAATTGCAGCAGGATTGGATTACCATATTTTGAAGAAAATGAAATAATATAAATCAGGTATCATTACAAAAAGGTAAGGGGAATTAACAGATAATTAAATTGAGTCCATAATTACCTAAAGAATCCAACTATATCCTATGTATACATTCTCCACAATTATTCTGCTCTGACAGTTCATGCAAATATATTCCTGTGCTTAAGCTTCTAATGAATCTAAACAATACCAATCTGAAATAAACAGAGACTGGGCTTGCACTGAATGATGCTAAGATATGTTTTCTGAAGTAACTGCATTTTACAAGAGGGAACTTTTCCTACAGTAAAGAAAGCAACTGCTCTGCTAAGATGATAGGAAAAATAAAATTTTGGCAGCTATGCATAATAGTATTCCTATTAGCTGAGTTCAACTACAATTCACACAACTGAGAAGATGTGAAATACAACGATAATTTCAATAGCAGTCAATTTGGGAAGGGCATTATAGTCACACTCCGACTATAGGAAGAAGTTGAAGGGAGACAGTGGCAGAAAAGCTTCTATTTGTTTTCTGTCACCTAATCTTTCTGTAATCACCTTCTGCCTCAGAGGAAACAAAAGTTGGATTGTGCAAAAA